CAAAAGTTCTTTTAGCCCCTCAAAATTTTCAAAAATATAGTTTTATCCCTAAATACTAAATTTGAAAGACATAAAATGTTTGTTTAAGGTTGTTTTTAGTTCCTCTAATTTAGTGTTTAGGGACTAAAACCACTTTTTTTCTAAATTTGAGTGATAAAAATGAACTCTTTCAAATTTAAGGAACCAAAACCAGATTCACTCCAAGTTTCAGGAACTGACACCATAAACAAAAAAGGTCTAATCAAAATTCAAATGTATTTCAAGACAGAAGTCAAAAGTCGTCTAAAGAATAAGAATCACAGATGTTTTAAGTAGTATTAAAGCGAACAACAGTTCAGCATCCCTCGTGTTGGGGTTGACAACGTGCATTTAGATTTGAAAATTTCTTAAAAGTTGTTATGAATGAACACTTAGTGTACACACAAAATTCTAGGATAAGCAAGCAAATAAAGTATAACCAGAAAACACCCAAAAAAAAAATCTTGAAGGAATTTTGTGTACCAAAAAATAACCATAAACCTACTTTTCCTTTTGTCCATGTCCTCCAAATAATCTGCAGGCTGCTTTGTCCCAGTGCTAGTAATGAATGATTCTACTGATTCTTTGTAGCAATTGTGTATGAGATATGACAGAACAACACTGTGGATGTCATTATCATTTATAGCCTGTAAATTCAAGTAACCCAGAAAAAATGATGGATTAATTTCAGTAAGACAATCAAAAGAACTAGAAACCCACCAAAACATACTACAAGGGTTCAATCTTAGCTCAATTCTTTTTCTTTTGTATATAAAAATTAGGAGGAGGGAATGACGCCCAAATCCAAGACAGGTGAAGTCTCTAGACTCAAAGACACTTAACGAGGAACAATATTTCATTTCATCCCAAAGAAAAGAGTGACGGTTTGAAAGACACGGTCATGCAAAATCACGCCTTATCCATTCAAATAACCCACAGAGGATTAATTACATTCTCTTTTAAACATAAATTTGAGGGAAAAGTTTTGAATCACCGGAGCCAAAACGCATATTAGTAGTAATTCGTGTGAGAGAAATATAGAGTATACAGGGCAGAATAAATATTACATTTTTATTTTCAATCCCTCTTCTCTTCTGTTCAATTTTCTACCATGAGAAATTAGGGTTGGGAAATATCTTTCAGAAACTAATTATTCGAAGAGTTTTCCAGAGAGTAAGAAATCATTTATCGCAAAACAAAACATATTATTAATATCCACAAGGCAACTACTCACCAGGGTCTCCACTTTAGTGGAGACCTCAATAAGCATCTACGAGTTCTACAGGGAAATAAGACTCGACGAACAAGGAAAAGTGAAAGGAGCACGGAAGTGAATAGTGGCCACAGAGAGGATCGGGATATGAGAAATTGACGACACAGTAGAGTTGCAAAAATAAAATCATGAAGAAAAAAGTGAAGTCGAAACAGTAGAACACGGACAGAGAAAAAGAAGCATACAACGTTTTCGTATTGACGAGGATCGAGGTCCATGGCTTGGTAGAAGACGAGAGAAGCGAACAGTGAAAGGAGGCACCAGTTACGAGACTGAGGTGCTGTGACTACGAAACGATCCGATTGCAATTCCTTGGGTTCGTGTTCGTGACGACTCACCGTGTGGTGGGTGTGTGAGTTTTCTCAAAGCAAACACGTGACGTGTCTCTCAACTCGTGTGATGAAGTCTGCAGGGTGCACGTGAGGAGCGACCCACTGAAGCAAATCAACCAATTACAACATTTTTATCCAAAATAATCATTTTCTTTGTTTTTATTTTCCCAGCTATGCATACTGTTAATGTTGTATTGTTTGATATTTAATTTAAATAAATTTTATATTATATAATCGCCTTTTTAAGAATTTAATAATATTTTTAAATTAAATATATAATAAATGGAGATACTTAAATATTAATTTTGTCTTTTTTTTAAGGTTGTTCAATTCAATTATAATATTTGTGTTTTAATTTCGGTTAATTTAGTATTTTTTATAACCTCATTTAAATAATGTATTGTCAGTGTTGTTTCCAAAATTTTTATTTAAAAAATATTTGTGTATCAGTATTTAAGATTTAAGATTTATAATTTATAATTTATAATTTAAAGTTTAAAATTTAGAATTTAGAATTTAGAATTTAAGATTTAAAAATTAAATTTTTATTGTATAATATATACAACAACCTAACATGTAATATATAATGACATTATACGTAGTATAAATGCATCATTAACACGTGACATGACATGACATGGAATATATAATGTATAAATATATGTCTACCGTGGTATAAGGTCAAAGAGCCTTGAAATATATGTGTCTTCTAGAACTTGAAGAATAACTGCACCTTAGAAGTGTGGACTTCAGGATTTACACAAATTAAAATATTATTATAAATTAGCTTTTATTAAATTAATACCTCGTCTTAAATATGAGAATTTATATTACTAGACACACATCCATATAAGAGTAAACTAAAGTCTCTTACATTTTTTCACAAAATTAATATTTCCAAATAAATAAGAAAGGCAAACATAAACACTAACATTCACAAACAAACACACAGTAAGCGAGAAAAAACCACTCCATATAAATAAATTTAAAATATTGGGTTTGTACATTTTTTATATTTTTATTTATTTTTTAACTATTTTTCTTTTATATTAATCATATAAATAATTATATATAAAGTGTAATTATTAGTTTAAATATTATTTTTAGGCATGTTTTACACTCAATATTTTCATTACTTTTGTATCTATAATTTTTCTCTTGTGCTCACATTCTTTGAAATTCATTTTATTCTCCATTAGTTTGAATTCCAACTTTGTGCAAGGATTTCTGGTTACCTCTCCCGCGTGGACACACCATTTGGCTTATTTGCAACCACTTATTTATATATATAAAAGATATTTGTGTACTATCATGAAAACAATTCCAAAAGTGTTTTGTCAAAGTTCCAAAGAATTACGAAGAATTTTATATATACTATTGGTGGTTCGAGTCAATAAATTATCTTTCCGTACTTGGAAAATAATATATTGTTTTCTTGTTGTAGATGATATAAATATTAACAAATAATTATTTATCTTTTCATTTGGTGAATATTATAAACATAATAAACTTTTTTAAGTAAAATGGATTTACATCCTTGACTAATTTAGTATCACATTGTACTAAATTTATAATGTATAAAGATAACAATAAATAAACTCCTTCTGTGATATTTATAAACTTTTTTTCTATTTTAGAAGAATCAATGCATTGTATACCAGAATTAGTATAAATAATATCTGATTTTTTTAATTAAATATAAAGACAATGATTGATATGCGTATATTTGTCTCATCGTTATTTTTATATATATTTCAATATTCATCTTATTTTTTCACGTTTAAATTATTAAAATATTTATAATTTATTAGATAACTTAATAATATATATACATATATAATATTACTATTTAATTTTGTAAAAAAGTTTATTATACATTTTTTAATTATTTGATTTGTTCTTTATTCATAAATCCTTTTAATTTTCTAAGGTTATTTATTCAAATTACAATCTTGATGACATTTTTTTTATAGCTATGTTTAAATATTTACAATTTATGTGAATCAAATAGTTATCAAATCACAAATTTGATTATTTTTATTTTTTTTTTATTTATTATTTTTTTTAACATGAAAATGATTGATTCTCTTAATTTTAAGGTTTCAATTTTGGTTCACTGTGTATTTTATATGATTTTTTCTATTTTGTTTAATTATTATTTGGTATTCTGATTTAAAATTTATATAATAAATTTTAATAAATTTTATTCGTAGATATTTGACATAGAATGTGATTTTTTTATACAATATATTTTTTTTCGTATTTTTTAAAACTAATTATTTAGTATTAAACCAGGAAAAAGATGTTTATCTGCACATGTACTATATCCAAGGGGAATGAGAGATAAACAAACTTTTCTCACTTCATTACTATTCCTACATATACTAAATACAATAATAAATATAAATTAATTTATTTTTTAATAAAATAAATATAAAACATCTCTATTGAATTATACTTTATTTTTGTGTATAGTTTTCCATAATTATACTAACTTAAATATGTAATTTCACTTCATATTATCATTTTTAGGTAAATATTTTTGGAATGATACTTTTTAAGGAAAATGTAGTACTTTTAAAAACATTGGCCCATGATTGACCCTTGCCCATAAGTGTGATCCCTGTAAGACTTCTACGAACATTTTGATTATAAGCGTTTTTTTTTTGTACGTTTTATGGACTCCAATCTATATAAATCAAGGCCTATAAAGATTATATATTAATAAGTTTGATTAGATGCTACTAAACCCTTCAACCTTAAAAGGAATTTTGGATCAGTTTAATTGTTTGATTGTAAAACACCATCATTTAATTAAAAAATAAATTAGTTATTAAATTATTTTTGAAAATAACATATTTTAAATCTAAGCAAAAAATAAAATAGTTGACCACAAAATCTGAAACTAATAATCCAATTGATGTGTCTCACTTCAATGCAATTTAAATCAAATTCAATCTAATTTAAATCGAGTTAGATTAAATTTAATAAAAGAAATACAAAAAAATCACTTAGTATAATATATATTTTCTTTTTCGTTAAATTAAATAATAAGTTTGCTCAAATTCAAAATCTAATATATGTATACTTTTTAATATTAATTAATAAATCACACGTGTCATCTATAAAACGAAGAAAATTATTTCATTATAGTGGTGAACCTTCATTCTATATATTAAGACGTATCTTTCATTGAAAAAACAGACAATTACATATTTTCTATAATCAGCCGAAAATTATATTAAGAAGAAGCCGAAATAAAATTATTTTAAAATAATCAATAAGTTGTGATTTTAATGTTGTTAAATATACTGTTTAAATAATTTAATTTTATTATGGAATGCGCTAAAANAAAAATTCAATCTTAAGCACACACAGTCACACACATACATCACAAAAAAGCTATGTGAAATCCAGACATACTTCAAGTTTTTCCATATATTTGGGCTCCTTTCCAAAAGGGCCCAGCTTGGTCTGAGCAAACTCCAAAGCTTCTGTGCTGCCAATAAAATGAAAATATATGAAAGTAGGAAGTCTACAGGTTCTTTGAGAGACAAAATCAAATTATGCTTACCATTTCCTGGAGCACACAAGCTCAACAAAATGAAGGCTTAGTAGATCAAACTGCAAATCCTTATTCTTCTCTAAAATATCCTGTGCTAGCTGCTCAGTAAGCTCAATGGCCTTGAGTGCATTTCCCTCTAGTGCAAAGTGAAAGATTCCTAAAGAAAAAATGAAATTTATCATGAAGTGTTTTCATTAATAATAATAAGATCCAATAAAAAGCCTAATTATCTTCGTAAGTGTGTGGAGAATTTCCCAGCACAGTTTGTGGCACAGTAATATATCTTAAAATGTCAATCGAAGCTCAATAGAGATGTCTTTACATAGTAAAAAAGATGCAAGAAAGAAAGTAGACTTAAATATGTTTTTAGTCTCTAAAATTTAGGACAAATCTCATTGTAATCCTCCAAACTTACAAAAGTTCTTTTAGCCCCTCAAAATTTTCAAAAATATAGTTTTATCCCTAAATACTAAATTTGAAAGACATAAAATGTTTGTTTAAGGTTGTTTTTAGTTCCTCTAATTTAGTGTTTAGGGACTAAAACCACTTTTTTTCTAAATTTGAGTGATAAAAATGAACTCTTTCAAATTTAAGGAACCAAAACCAGATTCACTCCAAGTTTCAGGAACTGACACCATAAACAAAAAAGGTCTAATCAAAATTCAAATGTATTTCAAGACAGAAGTCAAAAGTCGTCTAAAGAATAAGAATCACAGATGTTTTAAGTAGTATTAAAGCGAACAACAGTTCAGCATCCCTCGTGTTGGGGTTGACAACGTGCATTTAGATTTGAAAATTTCTTAAAAGTTGTTATGAATGAACACTTAGTGTACACACAAAATTCTAGGATAAGCAAGCAAATAAAGTATAACCAGAAAACACCCAAAAAAAAAATCTTGAAGGAATTTTGTGTACCAAAAAATAACCATAAACCTACTTTTCCTTTTGTCCATGTCCTCCAAATAATCTGCAGGCTGCTTTGTCCCAGTGCTAGTAATGAATGATTCTACTGATTCTTTGTAGCAATTGTGTATGAGATATGACAGAACAACACTGTGGATGTCATTATCATTTATAGCCTGTAAATTCAAGTAACCCAGAAAAAATGATGGATTAATTTCAGTAAGACAATCAAAGGAACTAGAAACCCACCAAAACATACTACAAGGGTTCAATCTTAGCTCAATTCTTTTTCTTTTGTATATAAAAATTAGGAGGAGGGAATGACGCCCAAATCCAAGACAGGTGAAGTCTCTAGACTCAAAGACACTTAACGAGGAACAATATTTCATTTCATCCCAAAGAAAAGAGTGACGGTTTGAAAGACACGGTCATGCAAAATCACGCCTTATCCATTCAAATAACCCACAGAGGATTAATTACATTCTCTTTTAAACATAAATTTGAGGGAAAAGTTTTGAATCACCGGAGCCAAAACGCATATTAGTAGTAATTCGTGTGAGAGAAATATAGAGTATACAGGGCAGAATAAATATTACATTTTTATTTTCAATCCCTCTTCTCTTCTGTTCAATTTTCTACCATGAGAAATTAGGGTTGGGAAATATCTTTCAGAAACTAATTATTCGAAGAGTTTTCCAGAGAGTAAGAAATCATTTATCGCAAAACAAAACATATTATTAATATCCACAAGGCAACTACTCACCAGGGTCTCCACTTTAGTGGAGACCTCAATAAGCATCTACGAGTTCTACAGGGAAATAAGACTCGACGAACAAGGAAAAGTGAAAGGAGCACGGAAGTGAATAGTGGCCACAGAGAGGATCGGGATATGAGAAATTGACGACACAGTAGAGTTGCAAAAATAAAATCATGAAGAAAAAAGTGAAGTCGAAACAGTAGAACACGGACAGGGAAAAAGAAGCATACAACGTTTTCGTATTGACGAGGATCGAGGTCCATGGCTTGGTAGAAGACGAGAGAAGCGAACAGTGAAAGGAGGCACCAGTTACGAGACTGAGGTGCTGTGACTACGAAACGATCCGATTGCAATTCCTTGGGTTCGTGTTCGTGACGACTCACCGTGTGGTGGGTGTGTGAGTTTTCTCAAAGCAAACACGTGACGTGTCTCTCAACTCGTGTGATGAAGTCTGCAGGGTGCACGTGAGGAGCGACCCACTGAAGCAAATCAACCAATTACAACATTTTTATCCAAAATAATCATTTTCTTTGTTTTTATTTTCCCAGCTATGCATACTGTTAATGTTGTATTGTTTGATATTTAATTTAAATAAATTTTATATTATATAATCGCCTTTTTAAGAATTTAATAATATTTTTAAATTAAATATATAATAAATGGAGATACTTAAATATTAATTTTGTCTTTTTTTTAAGGTTGTTCAATTCAATTATAATATTTGTGTTTTAATTTCGGTTAATTTAGTATTTTTTATAACCTCATTTAAATAATGTATTGTCAGTGTTGTTTCCAAAATTTTTATTTAAAAAATATTTGTGTATCAGTATTTAAGATTTAAGATTTATAATTTATAATTTATAATTTAAAGTTTAAAATTTAGAATTTAGAATTTAGAATTTAAGATTTAAAAATTAAATTTTTATTGTATAATATATACAACAACCTAACATGTAATATATAATGACATTATACGTAGTATAAATGCATCATTAACACGTGACATGACATGACATGGAATATATAATGTATAAATATATGTCTACCGTGGTATAAGGTCAAAGAGCCTTGAAATATATGTGTCTTCTAGAACTTGAAGAATAACTGCACCTTAGAAGTGTGGACTTCAGGATTTACACAAATTAAAATATTATTATAAATTAGCTTTTATTAAATTAATACCTCGTCTTAAATATGAGAATTTATATTACTAGACACACATCCATATAAGAGTAAACTAAAGTCTCTTACATTTTTTCACAAAATTAATATTTCCAAATAAATAAGAAAGGCAAACATAAACACTAACATTCACAAACAAACACACAGTAAGCGAGAAAAAACCACTCCATATAAATAAATTTAAAATATTGGGTTTGTACATTTTTTATATTTTTATTTATTTTTTAACTATTTTTCTTTTATATTAATCATATAAATAATTATATATAAAGTGTAATTATTAGTTTAAATATTATTTTTAGGCATGTTTTACACTCAATATTTTCATTACTTTTGTATCTATAATTTTTCTCTTGTGCTCACATTCTTTGAAATTCATTTTATTCTCCATTAGTTTGAATTCCAACTTTGTGCAAGGATTTCTGGTTACCTCTCCCGCGTGGACACACCATTTGGCTTATTTGCAACCACTTATTTATATATATAAAAGATATTTGTGTACTATCATGAAAACAATTCCAAAAGTGTTTTGTCAAAGTTCCAAAGAATTAAGAAGAATTTTATATATACTATTGGTGGTTCGAGTCAATAAATTATCTTTCCGTACTTGGAAAATAATATATTGTTTTCTTGTTGTAGATGATATAAATATTAACAAATAATTATTTATCTTTTCATTTGGTGAATATTATAAACATAATAAACTTTTTTAAGTAAAATGGATTTACATCCTTGACTAATTTAGTATCACATTGTACTAAATTTATAATGTATAAAGATAACAATAAATAAACTCCTTCTGTGATATTTATAAACTTTTTTTCTATTTTAGAAGAATCAATGCATTGTATACCAGAATTAGTATAAATAATATCTGATTTTTTTAATTAAATATAAAGACAATGATTGATATGCGTATATTTGTCTCATCGTTATTTTTATATATATTTCAATATTCATCTTATTTTTTCACGTTTAAATTATTAAAATATTTATAATTTATTAGATAACTTAATAATATATATACATATATAATATTACTATTTAATTTTGTAAAAAAGTTTATTATACATTTTTTAATTATTTGATTTGTTCTTTATTCATAAATCCTTTTAATTTTCTAAGGTTATTTATTCAAATTACAATCTTGATGACATTTTTTTTATAGCTATGTTTAAATATTTACAATTTATGTGAATCAAATAGTTATCAAATCACAAATTTGATTATTTTTATTTTTTTTTTATTTATTATTTTTTTTAACATGAAAATGATTGATTCTCTTAATTTTAAGGTTTCAATTTTGGTTCACTGTGTATTTTATATGATTTTTTCTATTTTGTTTAATTATTATTTGGTATTCTGATTTAAAATTTATATAATAAATTTTAATAAATTTTATTCGTAGATATTTGACATAGAATGTGATTTTTTTATACAATATATTTTTTTTCGTATTTTTTAAAACTAATTATTTAGTATTAAACCAGGAAAAAGATGTTTATCTGCACATGTACTATATCCAAGGGGAATGAGAGATAAACAAACTTTTCTCACTTCATTACTATTCCTACATATACTAAATACAATAATAAATATAAATTAATTTATTTTTTAATAAAATAAATATAAAACATCTCTATTGAATTATACTTTATTTTTGTGTATAGTTTTCCATAATTATACTAACTTAAATATGTAATTTCACTTCATATTATCATTTTTAGGTAAATATTTTTGGAATGATACTTTTTAAGGAAAATGTAGTACTTTTAAAAACATTGGCCCATGATTGACCCTTGCCCATAAGTGTGATCCCTGTAAGACTTCTACGAACATTTTGATTATAAGCGTTTTTTTTTTGTACGTTTTATGGACTCCAATCTATATAAATCAAGGCCTATAAAGATTATATATTAATAAGTTTGATTAGATGCTACTAAACCCTTCAACCTTAAAAGGAATTTTGGATCAGTTTAATTGTTTGATTGTAAAACACCATCATTTAATTAAAAAATAAATTAGTTATTAAATTATTTTTGAAAATAACATATTTTAAATCTAAGCAAAAAATAAAATAGTTGACCACAAAATCTGAAACTAATAATCCAATTGATGTGTCTCACTTCAATGCAATTTAAATCAAATTCAATCTAATTTAAATCGAGTTAGATTAAATTTAATAAAAGAAATACAAAAAAATCACTTAGTATAATATATATTTTCTTTTTCGTTAAATTAAATAATAAGTTTGCTCAAATTCAAAATCTAATATATGTATACTTTTTAATATTAATTAATAAATCACACGTGTCATCTATAAAACGAAGAAAANAAATGATTGATTCTCTTAATTTTAAGGTTTCAATTTTGGTTCACTGTGTATTTTATATGATTTTTTCTATTTTGTTTAATTATTATTTGGTATTCTGATTTAAAATTTATATAATAAATTTTAATAAATTTTATTCGTAGATATTTGACATAGAATGTGATTTTTTTATACAATATATTTTTTTTCGTATTTTTTAAAACTAATTATTTAGTATTAAACCAGGAAAAAGATGTTTATCTGCACATGTACTATATCCAAGGGGAATGAGAGATAAACAAACTTTTCTCACTTCATTACTATTCCTACATATACTAAATACAATAATAAATATAAATTAATTTATTTTTTAATAAAATAAATATAAAACATCTCTATTGAATTATACTTTATTTTTGTGTATAGTTTTCCATAATTATACTAACTTAAATATGTAATTTCACTTCATATTATCATTTTTAGGTAAATATTTTTGGAATGATACTTTTTAAGGAAAATGTAGTACTTTTAAAAACATTGGCCCATGATTGACCCTTGCCCATAAGTGTGATCCCTGTAAGACTTCTACGAACATTTTGATTATAAGCGTTTTTTTTTGTACGTTTTATGGACTCCAATCTATATAAATCAAGGCCTATAAAGATTATATATTAATAAGTTTGATTAGATGCTACTAAACCCTTCAACCTTAAAAGGAATTTTGGATCAGTTTAATTGTTTGATTGTAAAACACCATCATTTAATTAAAAAATAAATTAGTTATTAAATTATTTTTGAAAATAACATATTTTAAATCTAAGCAAAAAATAAAATAGTTGACCACAAAATCTGAAACTAATAATCCAATTGATGTGTCTCACTTCAATGCAATTTAAATCAAATTCAATCTAATTTAAATCGAGTTAGATTAAATTTAATAAAAGAAATACAAAAAAATCACTTAGTATAATATATATTTTCTTTTTCGTTAAATTAAATAATAAGTTTGCTCAAATTCAAAATCTAATATATGTATACTTTTTAATATTAATTAATAAATCACACGTGTCATCTATAAAACGAAGAAAAATATTTCATTATAGTGGTGAACCTTTATTCTATATATTAAGACGTATCTTTCATTGAAAAAACACACAATTAGATATTTTCTATAATCAGCCGAAAATTATATTAAGAAGAAGCCGAAATAAAATTATTTTAAAATAATCAATAAGTTGTAATTTTAATGTTGTTAAATATACTGTTTAAATAATTTAATTTTATTATGGAATGCGCTAAAAATATAACATCAAACCATACCATTATTATAATTTGCATAATTTTTAATTTTTTTTTGTTAAACTAACCGACTTGAAAAAAAAAATTTCATGTAGAATATGTATAAGTTGAGAGATGTATCTTTATGACGGTCCTTCTTACGTTTCAATGCTTAAGTTGTCTCCTCCGAATGTTTTTATTTTTGAACGGGAAGTGAGATACTGCAAAAGACACTTTGATACTTAAGTTAGACGTGATCTAATGAATTGTTTATTATAATTGAGTATGTTGAATATAGTTGAACGTACATAGCTTTTGGCCTTGACCTTTTATATATATATATAAGTCATCCCATGATCCAAATCCAATAAAATAAACAAAAACTTACCTTTAGATTCGATTAGATAAACCATTTATCAACATCTTTAATCAGATATCGTTAATTAATATCATTTAATCATTCTAATATTATTCTATTATGTGTTGGACTATTAGTCCAAGAATAATTTAAACATTAATCCAATTATGACCCAACATCAATAAAATTATTTAATCTAGTTGATGGTTGTTGATGTAGCGATTGAACGGTCCTAAGTATTAACCGTTTGATACTATATATCATACATAATGTAAGATGTATCAACAAATTTAACTCTTAATCAGGAGACCAAATATTTGAGTTAAAACAGGATCAACCCAAATTTTTA